CCTAACTTCGGGCATATATTTCATATGAATCTATACCTTTGAAACATATGCTCATCGTACATTTTCGTATGCACAAGCACCTCGTTCATCTATGCCCTGACCGGATTGTCAGGGATTTCCAAATATGAATTGCAGAACAGATACCCCGGTAAATACATGATCATACAGTATTTCCAATGCATTCCTTTGAATTTCAATGGGTGCTGAAATTTCCGATTTCGTTCTAAGTTTTCTCGGGTTGGAAACATGTGAATTTACTTAGGTGGGGAAACACATGTAAATTTGCAAATTTGCAAATGTTTACACACCTTAGATATTTATGTATCATACCGGATTTCAGGGGTATATATGAACGGTTCATACACCATCATGTTACCTGTACTCAAGCAAGATGATCATATGTTTCCATCATGTGAATTACTTGGCTCATGTAATTTCACTTTTACACATTTTAGTACGTTTGAAATCAACGTTCACATGACCTCAATATTCTTATCACCAAAGATCCTGACAAAGAAAGTGGTATTACGCAAGCTAACACGCCTTATTAAGCTGCACTCGCTCTTGCTACCAGTATCAGTTACGCCTTGTCTGTGGTGTTGGCAAATCTTGTGAGGTGCATGTTTCGACGGATTGAAAGGTTCAGTGGTGAACAAAGGGCGATGCGTTGCCCCTTTGTCCTCGCAAGTGTCCCTAGCTGCCCCAAAAGAATAGCACTTTGTCTCTCTTGGAGCACAGCCAAATATGCTACACGAACCAACTCTCAGCTCGCGCATCTACTGTAAAATATTTTGTGGCCGTACATAATTGGAATATTATTGCACTGCATGTGACCTTCTTAATAGTCTCACAGTGCCTGAACCATGATATTTCTCCATTCGCTCAGCCTTTGCTGTAATAACGCCATACATAAACTTTATAGTTTGTTTCACTAACGCAAAAGTATACAATAAGAAACAATGTCATATCAAATTATATATTCTGTGAGACATGAAATGAAAAATTGATTTTATCGAGTAGCGATTATGACCGGATAGCACGGGCGGGTGCGTTCTCTGAGTATATCATAGGCATGTTGGATCTCCGTGCCTTTTGTGAAATTCGTCTATATTGTCCTGTTTAAATTGACGATCCATAAGATTGCGAGTAAATATCACGTAAGTAATTGTGATGTCGCATTGCTGTAAATGTCCCTGTCGAAGAAGTCATTCTCTTGTTTGGAGAAGATCTATGTCTATTACGCCCCAGTGTTGCTAAACATTTTATAGGCCTTTAGTCTGACACAGACGCGGACATCGCATGTTCAAGTTCTGATCTGACAGGGGCTGAAAATATCATTCCGACATGAATACAATATCTCAGTGTTTTCCTGAGTAAGTGGAGATCTTTCTACAACATTGGAAGTAACTGTATCGTTGTCCACCTGATATTCCCCCGAACGAAAGCTCTACCCATGTAGGGTACAATGTGTAAGTTACAGAATTGTAGGGAATAGTCTTAAGACTTTTCTACTTTGACCAGGATTCTTCGAATTTGTAACAGTCGTTTGAGAAGATCAAAAGAGAAAAGGGTAGTGCCCGATGTATATGACGGACGTATATGGAGAACGTTCGAAGAACTTTATAAATACAATAACAGAAATACCGGTTATGTTTAAAACGTACCTTCAGTCTGATAGCCAGAGGGATTATTGTGACAGATCGCAGTATGTATCATCATAAACGGGCCAAGATAAAAGTACATGTCATTCATCCCCACATTATATCCCACGGTACATCGTTGTTACAGGTAGGGCAAACACTTTCTTCTAAAGGTATCTGCCGGTTTCACGGTACATACATGTGTTCAGATTATCGGGAAAACTAGCGCAAGTTCTCCTCCATCACACCTGAGATCACGTATTCTATCATATGGCCTTTGATCACTCATATAATTGTATAAATACCCAGTGTTTATTGATAGCGATGAAGCAACTTATCAAAAGTTAAGTCCGACAGTATCATCTGCATTACTCTCTTAGATAAGGTGAAATATCACAGGGTTGTCATGGTAACGATAATTTGGCATACTATTTATTGGGTTATTCTTTAATTTGCGATTAGAATTTAAATCAGTTTTGACGTGAGCATGTTAAGAAAAGAGAAGCTGTAAAACGAAATGTATTGTGATCGAACCTATAGGCCTTTGTAAAAAAAAAACGAGTTGTAAAAACGAGTTTCAAGCCACCTACATAAAAACCTGTTTTCATGATAAATATGTGCTAATCAGTGGCACGATTCCAACCATATCATGGGCATATTTTTGTGAATCATAATCAAACAATGATGTTACAAGGCGTCCATGCCGCGTCAACAACACATATGCAAACAGGGGCGTAGCTACCATTATAAAAAACAGCTCGAGCTTACACATGATCTTTCCTAAAAAATATTTATTCTTCTAATTTTTGCCAAAAATACGTACAAACACGTTCCATTTAAAAAGTGGAAATCCCTCTACGAATCGTACTGACTACAGTATTCTTTGATTAAAGCATTACCATGTACAGTAAACAGGTTATTCTTCATATCATAACTTTCAGTGATGATTGTGTTTCCATCGACATGTATGAGGATGTTTTGTTACAGTCATGATTATGTGTGAATCATCACTGAAATGCAGTTGTTTATTTTTCATTTGCTTATCATTTATTTTGGAAAAAAACACCAAATACTCGATGTATGGTATTGTATCAGTGCAGCAGACATGTGTAAACGATGTCCAAACATATTTGTATATGAGGAAATCACATTTCAATTTCCATGGTGGCAAGATATCCGTCCGTATCCACCCTGCCCTCCCTAAATTTTAATGAGGAACACTTTCTTTGAGTGGGATTTTTAGAAGTAGAATTCGTCTTTCAGTATGTTCAAATACAATTAACAAAACACTTTAAAACTCGTCCTTAGCAGATGAGGAATATATATTCAGGTGATATGATTTGACTAGAATGAAATTTAAGAGGGGATACAGGCGGAAGTTTTCCACAATATTTTGAAGCTATTAAAACCATCAAACGTCAAACGATAACTCTTCAGGTCTCATAAAAGATGAAAGTTGGGCAAGCCCTCAATGCCACCTAAATATAAGGCTTTGCAGCCCGTAGGGCTTACACGAAAAAAATGGCTTGCTACGCGCCTGGCAAACGCACGAGAATTGCAATACGGGCCTCTAACCACTGATTCTCCGTGACCTGGAGACACATGTGACTGAGCGTATGTTGGGGCGTCGTCGTCTGTCATACAGACCCTGAAGCAAATATATCCAAGCTCACGCAAGTCTACAAATTGTGGCAAGTCTAGATTTCCACAGGGCACTTTTCATTATATTATATTATATATTTTTTTATTATGAACCTTTATTCTGTGAAATATGTTCATATCAGAGACTAGTTGTTGATCTAGTTCTGACGGGTTGAAGACAAAAGACAAAATGGATACTAGTGCTGTTAAATTTCTTAAATTATATATAAATATTCGCCCTTGTCTCGGGTTAGATGAATATTTTCCACCAAATGTACATTCGGGGGATATCGATATCTAGGTTAAGCTATTTGAATCATATTTACAATTAAAAGACCCAAACAATGGTTTGTTGTCCAAATCTTTGGTTTTCCATATCTTTTCCCAGTCTGTATCACAGTCACAGAAAGATATTTTTTCCCCTTCCGTCTCTAGAAAAACTCACTGCAGGGTTCGGGTTATGGAGTGCCATACCACACACCCACAGCTGGCGGGACCAACATCTCCAGTAACATTTACATCTGCCAACGCTTAATTCGCAAGTGGTGAGGCAATAAGCTAATGAGGCTAAGGGTCCTGTACCATGTTTGAGAAATATCGATGATGCCTTATATAAAGTCTATCATCTAAGCAAGTCTAGCTATGTATGGCGTTAAGTCACTGCTTGGAAAAGGCTCCTTTAGAATTTTATTTGATAAATATTAGTATTTCCATCATATTGGAAAATACATAGACTAACGCTTAGTGTCTGAATATATATAATTTTGATCGTAACAAACAAGCCCATTTAAACATTACAGAACCATTGAAATACATGTTAAAGTAGTAATCTTGTAACACTATATCTTGTAACACTATATTTACCCATTACCAACCATTAACGCGTGTACTTAATATATGACAAACCTAACACTGGTCATACGAGATTTCAAAGGTATTAAAATGCATGTCGTACAATCACAGCATTTACATATGTTACACATGCTAGAAAACACACGAAAACCAGATTTACACACCTGTGAAAAACATGTACATACAGAGTTGAGTGTTCGTTTATTTTAACTCCCCTTTAAACATGTGTAAATCTGACAGCCAGATGACACGTAGATTTCAAACGTTGTTCATATGGCCGCCGGATGAAACGTATATTTCCTTACGTTAGTGAGTGAGTGAGTGAGTGAGTGAGTTAATATTTCACGTCACATCGGCAATATTTCAGCCATATAGTGACGAGAAATGTTTTATATAAATAATAAATTAAAGTTGCTAAAGAATCAGTCAGCGAAGGACTGTAAAATAACTAGAGTATCACAGATGGAGTCTAAACCTAGCATGAGCATGTAAAACTATTTTATTTACGAAGACAATACAATATGAAAACGGGCTATAGATCGCCAACAACTGAAGGTAGATCACCATACTAGGAACCATGGGGACTTACATTACTTTTGCTACCTGCATGGACCCTAGTTGGATTTACACCATCCCTTCAGCCATTGGCGACAGAAGAGAAATCTAGCCATAAATTAAAAACACTTATTCAACATATTTACAATATATTTACAAAATATGTACAAATATATACAAAATATATACAAAACATAATGTACTGGCTTGTTAGGCTTCCTTGTAGCCGGTGTAGCTGCCTGTGGGATCTGGAAATCTCCTCCGGATTGCTAGTACAACGCATGATGGCACAACACGTCTATTGCCATGACCCAGTCGACCATACCGTTGTAGGATAAACTGTCTGTACGCCTGGTGTCTGTATGCTGCATTACTTCGCTCTTGGTCATGTACAAAGAAGTCGTTATAATGTGCCATTGCAATGTCTAGCACCGCTGGGGAGATCACCGTATAAAAGTTTGGTCCATCCACAACACACTCGTAGGAGCCAGTCTGCCAGCAGCACTTCTCTTCTTGCGCTGTTGGCATGCTTCTACAATTGCCACATCTGCACCAGCTTGGTGTGTTGTCTGGTTGGGGCTGCCTTGGTGGATCATCACAGGGCCTGTATCCCAGGCGGAAGTCGTCAAAAGCCCCTGGTCCCGAAATAAAAGTTCAGTCACTATACTCCTGAGCTCTGTCACATCTAATGAAGCCGCAAAATCCTGGAATAGAGATATAGAATTAGAGACAAGCAAAATTATACCAAACAACTGATTTTGAGCATACAGTTAAGATGGTTGGATTTTATGATCACTCAAAATTTTCATGAACCAACACTTGATACAGTAATACATGTAAATATGTGAATGTCCATATACTGTGAACAGGGAGGTGTCTTGTTGGCTGAACATTATATCCGAAGGCAATATCAACCTCTCTCATGAAAAATATTTTTTCTTTTGGTAAGGCAAAACCAATTGCAATAATCCACCAATGTGTTTTTTCTTATTTTGAAATATACATCATATGAATTGATTTTAAACAATATAAAGCCATACTTTCAATATTTTCAGGAAAAAATATTAAGGAATATTAAATTAAAGGCCACAAAATATATTTGCCTTTTTAGATGCCATTGCATATGATCACGAATATGAAATCGAAAATGAAGAAGAGAAGTATGTGTAAATGTTATAAATCGTGTGCTATAGCAATGTGACATCTAAATTTTCTGTGAAGTGCAAACACATATAAAATAATTGTACTTCTACTTGGAAAGATTTGACATTTTATCTGGAATATGTACAAAATACTAATTGGAAATAACAATCCAGAATCCATTTAGATGAACGAACAATACTTCATATTCATTGTTGAAAAAAAGGTACCTTGACTGCCTTATGGTGTGCTGATGGGCCTTTTGGTGGACAGGATGATGAGCTTGTGTTTGTTGTCGGTGCAGCTTCCAGGTCATTGATGCATGTTGTCGATGCAGCTTCCAGGTCATCTGTGCTGTCAGCCTGTGAAAATACGAAAAATACCATTTCTTAGTTATCCAGATATTGCAGTACAAAGGATTATGATTTTATAAATACACATAGATATTACTAATTAATATTTAAGTGGCATATATGCGAGCATGAACATTCATCTAAATAAATATTACCTCCACTGGAACCTGGTCGACATTGAGCCTTCTTCGCACCCGGCTACCATCTGCAGTCTTCCTCTTTCTCTTCTTGGTGGGGTTGTGTTGAGGAGGGGTGTGGTTGATGTCACCATCCATATCCTGCAATTACATTTGTTAGAAAGTTAAAATAATAACACGCTTCCTTCCACCAGAAAGTGTGTATCGTCAAACAGGTAATCTAGTGATTATCAGCAAGTGGAATGTTGTAGCAATCACATTTTGCAAGAACCTTTTGGCAAAACAAATATTTATGTTTGGTTAAACAACTATATTTCACAGTATAAACAGAAAAGAGAATATATATGATGAATATCATTATGAAATTATTAGTGTCATCGAATTTCTAATTTTCAATTGGCATGAAGATAAGTGACATAAATAATGCTTTTCGACGTTTAGGTGAACTAATACGAATACCTGTGTGTGCATAACCTTGCATCATGTGAATATATATATATATATATATACAAGAAACAACATATAACGTACGTCTCGTGCCGTGCTGATGACATCACGATCGGTGAAATCCCTGAAGTCCACGTCGATCGACTTCAACTTCGGGGGCTGGCAATCGGGTTTGTTGACGCATGGTACCATCCATCCGCATGAGCACAAACTTGAACACAGTTTCCCGGCGGCGCGACACGGACATGTTCCTCTCTTCGATACACGAGTACAAGTGTTTTTGCATCTGCATACGATATCCTGTGAACTAGCCATGTTGATTGTCGTCCATGTTTGTGGTCTGGGTAGATAAGGGTGCAACGAACCAATCAGCGTTCAGAAAACAGAAAGGGGATTTCCCCGTCGCGACGGCTCGAATGACAAGTCTGCCAAGGTGGTCAGCTGCCCAGTCCCGGTGTTTGTCACGGTCTAGAGAGAGCAAGCACTGCCCGCGCGGCAGCCGAACACGACAATTAACACGTTAGCTCGGAGCAAAAATCACTTCGCATCAGTGCCCCTTTAAAAAGCAGGTACACTTAGATTGACTAAATGTACTTACGTACCCTCTCAGGAGGACAATAATTTTACAATACTTCAACCCCCTTTGAGGATACAGCCACTAACAATCTCAGTTTCTAATCTAAACTACCAATAATAAAATATATATCTATTTACAAATCATTCAACAAATCTTTTTTTTTTTTAAATGCAAGAATTAAATGAGAACTGACATTATTAAAAAGATCCTTCAGAGTTTTGGATTTGAAATAGATATCCCTTGTGATGGAATATTCAATGCAGTCAAGCAAGACATGCTTGACTGTGATCCTTTCATCACAAGGGATACAAAACGGAGGATCTTCGCCTTTCAATAAATATTCATGAGTATATCTGGTATGGCCAATGCGACATCGTCGCGCATAACGACCTCTTCAAATCTGGACTGACAACCCAAGTAAGTGTAACTAATGTAGGATTTTATTGCATGTAATTTATTGATACCTACTTGGGTGTCCCACTTCTTTTGCATCAGATCGCGGATGTATGTTCTAATGCTGGCTTTATAATCAGAGTAAGGAATAAGAAGTGGTGTCACAGATTTGTTGAGTGCTGCCTTAGCAGCAAGATCAGCCATCGTGTTCCCAGAAATGCCAACGTGGCTGGGTAACCAACAAAAGACGATGTCGCATTGGCCAGTAGCAAAATCATTATACAATTCAATAATTTCTAATAAAAGTGGATGTTTGCAAGAAAGATTTTTAATAGCCTGAAGACACGAAAGAGAATCTGAAAAGATGATATATTGTTTATATTTACGGTGTTTATTAATATATTTAAGAGCTGTTAGTATTGCGTTTGCTTCTGCTGTGAAAATTGAACTGTCATTGGGTAATCTGGAAGATATTGTTTTCGACCCAATGACAGTGGCACAGGCCACCGCGCCACCATCCTCGGACCCATCTGTAAATAAGGATTTATATGTATTATATTTATTTCTTAATTGACTAAATTCTTGTTTATACTGTAATTCATTTGTTTCTGATTTTTTAAATGTAGTTAATGTTAGGTCAACTTGTGGCCTAACCAATTGCCAAGGCGGAGAAGAAAGAAGACGGGAAGGAGCTATATGTTCTAGCTCAATCCCAGCTGCAGAAAGGAAAGGTTTCACTCTTATACCAAGAGGCGGAACAAGAGAAGGCTTCTTGGTATACAGATCTTCATACAGTGGATTAAAGACACAGTTATATGCAGGGTTTGACTCATTGGAATAAAGTTTTGTAATATACTGTAAAGTTAATTTTATACGGCGTTGTGTAAGAGATGGCTCATCAGCCTCGACGTAGAGACTGTCAACAGGAGATGTTCTGAATGACCCAAGACAAAGTCTCAGACCTTGGTGATGGACAGAATCTAATAGTTTTAAGTTGCTTTTACAGGATAGACGATGGAGCCATAATCAAGCTTCGAGCGGACAAGTGATCTACACAGGTGTAGGAGGGTAGTTTGGTCCCCTCCCGACTTTGAATTAGAAACGACTTTCAATAAATCGAGTGCCTTCAGGCATTTAGTTTTTAGAGATTTAATATGCGGAAGAAAGGTTAAATGGGAGTCGAAAATCAGACCAAAGAACTTGGCCTCTTTTACAACCTTGGTGGGAGTGCCGTTTAAAAACAGTTCTTGGTCATTATGTAGTTTATATTTACGGCAGAAATATATGCAATTAGTTTTTGATTTAGAAAATTAAAGCCGTTTTCAAGACACCATTTATTTATTTTGTTTAAGCACAGCAGTAGTTGCCGTTCAATAGTATGCATATTCTTACCGCGACAAGAAATGTTAAAATCATCCACAAAAAGTGACCCATCAATTGAATCATTTAAAACCTTGGATAAACTGTTGATTTTTATACTAAACAATGTGACGGACAAAATACTGCCTTGTGGCACACCCTGATCCTGATTGTAATGATCAGACAGGGTCGAACCCACTCGGACTTGAAATTGCCTGTCAGTTAAAAACTGTGATATAAATTGAGGCAAACGGCCTCGTAATCCAAAGTCATGTAAATCTTTTAAAATGCCATGTTTCCATGTCGTGTCGTATGCCTTTTCTAAATCGAAAAAGATCGACACTGCATGTTGTTTATTAATTATGGCATTCTTAACAAAAGATTCTAAACGCACTAAATGATCGAGAGTACTTCTGTGTTTACGGAAACCACATTGTATATCTGTTATTAAGTTATTGGTTTCCAGGTACCAAACAAGTCGATTATTTATCATGCGTTCCATGGTCTTGCAAACGCAGCTAGTGAGTGAAATGGGCCTATAATTGGAAGGATCCGCATGATCACGTCCAGGTTTAGGGATAGGCACAATTATAGCATCACGCCACGACAAAGGGAAATTTCCAGATGTCCAAATGTCATCAAAAATGTGTAACATTGTCTCCAAACATGACTCTGGCAAGTGCTTCAGGAGTTGATAATGTATGTTATCAGCTCCAGAAGCAGTATCGTGAGCCTGATCAAGAGCAGTATGAAGCTCATGTATCGAAAAGGTTTCATTTTAGTCTTCCCCATTATCTGAATTGAAATTAATAGATTTCTTTTCTTGATGTTTTTGATATTTTTGGAATTCAGGTACATAATTAGATGAGGAAGAATGTTTGGCCAACGTCTCACGAAGTGTATTTGCAAGATCTGATCTATTAGTCAATAAATTGTTCCCATCTTTTAGATGGTGGATGCTAGATTTAGAGCCCTTACCTTTGATTTTCTGGATCATATTCCACACCTTTGATATAGGTGTGCGCGAATTAATTTTTGATATATAGTTCCGCCAAGATTGACGCTTACTTTGCTTGAAAGTACGTCGTGCTTTGGCGTTTAAAATTTTAAATTTGTCCAAATTGTGGACCATAGGATGGCGACGGAAATAGTGCTCGGCTTTCTTCCGTGCCTTCCTAGCCTGTTTGCAGTCATTGGTAAACCATGGTTTTCGTACGTGAGGAATTGCAGAGGACTTTGGGATACACTCGTCAGCAATGTTATTTAGTTCATCTGAAAAACATTTAATGGCATCAGAAATGTCATTAAAAAGTTCAGGTTTGAGATTGTCAGCACAGAGAGCTTCATATAAAGGCCAGTTAGCCTTTTTATAATTCCATCGTGATGATGGAGGAACATCAGATGGATTCACAGGTGTCAGTATTGTTGGGAAATGGTCACTTCCACACAGGTCGTCGTGGACTGACCATTCGAATTAGGGTTTAGGTAGTTGATCATAAAGAGCTTGCAGATCGGTTAGTTGAACAGTTGATGAAGGCGGAATGTACAAAGAGCATCAAGTAAAAGCAACCTGTAATTGAAGTCGAACTGCAACGACTTGAAGATTTGTTTTAAGTGGAACTGAGCTATGGATGACACTGTTCCTCACCAGGATGGATGATCCACCAGAAGCTCTATCACCAGGAGGAGAAAAACAGTGATATGCATTGAACTGACGGAAGTCAAAGTTTCTTGGATGCAGACGCTGAAGGTGTAAAATCTTGGTTTAATAGATGTAAATCATTTAAATTATTCCGGAGTCCTCTACAATTCCATTGAATTATAGGTGAAGACATTATTTCTTCGGTGGATGAACAGGAGATCTACCCCTCACCTTCCTTGAGGGTGACAAGCTATGAGTCCTACCATGGCTATGGTCGGACACATCCATGTCCTCAAGGGATCCAAACTTATTATAAATTTGGACCTGGTTATTTGACCCCTTTCGGGGTCTGTTGCTTTGACTCTTTTTGTTTTCATAGTTAGGTTTGGATGGATATTTTACAGTCGCTTTCGCACTTGTGTCAGATGATTTAGATGGTTGGTTCTGAGATGAGGATTTGTCCTTCTCAGAAGACGCCTTGGACTGAATGATGGTTTGTGAAGGTGTGGTTTGAAAACTGGAAGTCACCTTTGGAGGTCTCGCTTGAATTTCGGAAGTTATCAAGGTTGGGGCAGAAGTCCTAGCCCACGTATAGTCGGTTTGGCAACCAACTGAAGTACATGAGACATGTTTTGATGTAGAAGCCTGAACAGAAGCAGAAACAGTGGCAGCATAACTCGGACCTGATTGTTCTTGTGTAAGAACAATCTGTTTTGCTTCAAAGAATGACACGTTTCGCTCATGCTTTACTCGCAAAATTCTTGATTGCAACTTCCAGGAAGGACATTCCTTGGATGAAGAAGGATGGCAACCCGCGCAGTTGACACAAACAGGTGTTTTGTCACAAAGGCTACTGTCCTCGCATGTTCCAGCACATCGATGACATGCAGCTGGATTGTTGCAAGACTTGGCCCCGTGACCATACTTCTGACAAGTGTAACACCTTAAGGGGTTGGGGATAAAAGTCTCCACCCTCAAGTTGCAATACCCTGGTTTCAGAGATTGTGGGTGAACTGGCAAACAAAATGTGAATAGGTAAGTGTTAGTTTTGATAACTTCGTTATTCTTTTTGACTGTAAAGCGTTTGACCTGACTTACACCTTGGGAGTGCAGTTCAGTCATGATATCAATTTCGCTCATGTCTGAAAGGCAACGTCCAGTATCCCGGACGATGCCCTTGCTGCTATTTAGCGTCCTGTGAGGGGACACCTCCACAGGAACATTTGCTAAAGACTTTGTTTTGAGCAGAATATTTGACTGTATTTGTTTCCTGCTCTCGATTAGCAAGGAACCAGATCTCAACTTTTTTATTTCCTTTACGTCTCCGGCCAAACCTTCAATGCCCTTTGATACAGCAAAGGGATTCAATTTTAAAGAGCCACCGTCAGGATCACACATAACTAGAAAACGAGGCCAATTATCCGGATTGTTAGAGATTGCTTGGCCGTCATCATCTGAAGACAACGAATCGTCAGATTCGTGTGAGCGTTTTTTGAGTGGGGGTGCCATGA